ATATATATCGTTAATTTTCAAACGATATATATCGATTAAATGCTATATATCGATTAATTTCTGTAAAAAAAATTTCCCAATGTTATTAATTTTACAACAATTGACAAACCAGCTATAAGAAGTAATTTTAGCTTATTAATTTAAACTATAGCAATCAAAAAATCCAAATTTATTATAGATACAATCCTAAACAAAAATCTACATATTACTAAAGCAATCAAAATATCTTTTAATATTTTTCTTAGTACAACAAAAAACTGGCTTACCAAATTTACTTATACTCTTTTTTATAAAACAAATTACAAATAACTTTTTAACTCACACTATTTTATTCCTTTTTACTCAATTAAAAAATAATTTCAAATTGCTATAAATCTTGCAAACTTTATTTATTCCTATATAACAAATACCAAACTATTAGTCATCAAAAATTCTTTTATGACTTACAACTTAAACCTATTTGCTTAAAAACCTTTATATATATAAACTATATTTTAAATACTTTGAAAAGCAATACTCTTATATTACAAATTTATAATATCTTTAAATTCTATATCAATATTATTATAAATATTTCTTTCCAAAAATTTAATATAAATTATTGTATTCCACCTTTTTACTTAATTAAACCACAATTTGATATCTGGTTTTAAAAATTTTTTACACATTACAAAAAACAATTTAGTAATATCAATAAAAAAAAGTTTATAATTATATCAAATACCAAATAACAACAGCAACTAATAATGAATACAAAAAGCTAATTTTTTAAAAACTTAAACTAACAACTATTCTATTTATTTAAGACTGAACAAACTATAATACCAAAACAGCAATACATCATATATACATCTGCACCAATCTGAAAAATGTAAAATTCTTAATCTAAAAACAATACATAATATCTACAATCTAACTTCTTACTACTTTAAATAATTCTTTAACACTATACCTATTCAACAATATATATATCTGTCTTTAAATCTTTCTACTTTCACCTTAGCAACATTTTATACATTCTTACCTTTTAAAGAACTTTATAAACTATAACCAATCTGAATAAACCTTTATTCAACTGAACAATATATCTACTAATCCTAAACATATATCTTATTTTTTTTACTATTATTTTCAAGCTTACTTTAAATTTGCAGCAACAAACAATAAAATTATTAATCTTAATTTAAAGAAGCATTGAACAAAATCTTCTCTTAAACAAGTAATTTACAAATCCTAACCAGAATCATTGCCTATTATGACATTACTCAAATCTCTAAACCAACTATTACTCAACTTAAAAAAACCTTAACAAGTTATATTTTGATTAAGCAAACCAATACATTATCAAAAAACTTAATATTGTTATATCTATAGTATTAGAAACTAACTTTATTTACACTTTCAATGAATCTAAAATCATCAATAAACTCAATAATAGCCTTTTCTTCTAGCAATATCTATACTTTTCTGTTAATTTTTCTTTATCTATTTACCTATCCAATCTATATTACTTATTTTAGTTATACCTTTACAATTCTGTTAATTTTCTTTATCTATTTGCTTATTTAATTAATTTTACTTTTTACTTTTTTAACTATATTTTATTTTTTATTTAATTTATCTTACCTTTAATTTCTTTTCTTTATAATAATATAATTAACTTCTAATAGTATAAATAGTTAGTAAAATTAATAAGTAGCTTATTAGTATATACTAGAATAATAAACATTATTTAGAAAATTTCAACTAATTTAGGTAAGCCTTAGCCACTCTAGTAGGTTTAAGCTATAGATAAATATGTCTGAGCTCTTACTTTTGCATATAGAATTTATATTACTTAGAGTTATAGTTTTATAATTAGCAGTTTAATGATAGCTTTGACTATAAGTATTAGTCTTAGTTATAACATATATAGAACTTCTTTTTATATTTAGTAACTTTATATAGTTACTACTTAATAACTATAAATAAAGATAGGAGCAAGGTTTCATCTTAATACTAAAAAAAAAAAAAATTAACCAATCAAATTATTCAATTTTATACTATCTAAGCAAATTTTAATCAACTTAAACAAACTTTGTTATATATATATATATACTGTATATTTTTTTAAAAAAAATAACTAGAATTCACCACAGGTGATTATCACCTGTGTAGATCGTATCGACCATGCATAATCGGAGTTAGAATATACATATATATACATATGTGCATTGTCTACTCGATTAGTAAATAAATATATAATATGCATGTACGTAAATAAATAGACTGATCGAACATTGATTTGACCTCTTCACTTGTTCAAAAAATACACCTTTGTCTTGTTAAAGTAGTGTAGTAAAAATAGAGAAATGATCAGTTCGCTGATAAGGAAGCTGAAAGAACAAGTAAAGCCAATAGAAAATCATACCTTTGAGCTGACATCATTTAATTTTGCAATACAAAGGTTAGTAAGAAAGCTGCCTGGTAGCTATGTCACATGCAAATGCTTTTAACTTGTTTTTACTATTTATTTGTCACAAAGTAGTCCCTTTGTAGAACTTGGTGTTGATTTAAATCTAGCGCGAAGCAGAAGTTTTCAAAGGTTAGTGAAAAAAATCGGTAGCTACACATTGAAATAGTTTCTGATAGTTCTGCTTTTAACTGTGGTCCAGTAAGTTTACTATAGAACTTGATGTTGATTTGGAGAAGAGTCAAGATTTGAGAAGGTTAGAAAAAAACATTGCTGGCTACGCGTTAACACAACTAGCTGATGCAGTTTTTTTTTTTTTTTTGACTGTCGCCAAGAAATCTCGCTGTCGACGATTTCAATTTGACACAAGGTCAATTAAGTAATCCCGCAGTTGATTTCAATTATGGACAGATCCAGAGATTCAAAAGGTTAGTAAGGAAATTTGGTAATTACGTGCTGTTAAGGTGATTTCTGATTTTTTTCTTAATTATTTATCTAGTAATTCAGCTATAGAATTTGAAAGTGATTTTAATTTTATGTCGAGCCATTCCAGGTTAGTATCATAATACCTATTTAGTAAGTAGTATAGTAGTATTTACTTCTTGACTTCTGATTTGTTTTTTTTTTAATAGTTATCAAGCAATCTAATAATAGAACCTGAAGGAGTCCTTAATTTGATGCTGAACCAAAGTTTCAGGTTAGTGTCGTAATATCTATTTTGGTCATTAACATTTGTGTTTTTAGCATTATATAGTAAACAGCATTCACTTATTTGACTTCTGGTTTGTCTTTTTTCTTATAATTACCAAGTAATCCACCTGAAAACGATTTTATTGTGATGCCAGGCCCTAGTTCCAGGTTAGTAATTAGGTGTTTTTAGCATTAATTGAATTGCTTTTGTATTCTTGTGTGTCTACATTACTAATTGATCCTTGAATAGTTCGAATAACATTTCTAGTGATGATGAATCGCAAGAAAACCTTTTGCAATTATATGTTGGACTTCTGTTTAATACATGGGAAGAGGTGGACAGTTTTGTAGAATCATATGGAAAGTCTAAAGGTTTTTCTTTTCAAAAAAGTAGGAGTGATTTTCACTCTGATCATTCGGGCATACATCGCTGCAGCTATGAGTGTTCCTATTCACGTGCACATAAGGCCAAAAAAACTATCGACATTACTAAGCAGCGTGAGCGCTATTCTGCTGAGATTAACTGTCTATGGCATGTGAACTTTAATAATCGCAAGGGTACTACTCAAATTACTTGTACCTCATTTGATGATAAACACAACCATGAATTGAATCCTATTATTTCGCAAACCGCACCATGGTTCGTAAGTTATCAAAAGAAATGATTGGGGACATAAAGTTTTATACATGTTCCACTGAAGGATTGGGTGCCAAAATGCAGTATAATCTTTTGAAAGTGAAATATCCTGACAAATATATAGATAGAAAGGATCTTTACAATGCTATTCAGCGATTTCGAATACTATCACATGAGAAAACAAAAACTGATGCTGCAGAAACTCTTCAACAATTAATAACTTTAAAAGCTGAAGATCCTGAATGGGTAG